TAACTTGTGGGTATCAGGTATTTTGTCCCAGCAACGAGAAAGTAACTAAGACACTCTGCAACCATTGTATGAAGTTAGTATAAGTTTGATATCAAAACCAGTCAATGATATTAAGAGAAAGGAAAAATAAATACAGGATAACCTCACTCATAAACATATATGGAAAAATTCTAAACTAAATATTAGCAAACCCAATCCAATAATTTACATAAAGGATAGCACATCACAACCAAGCTGGATCTATTCCAGAAATGTAAAGTTAGTTTAAGATTTGAATAAGTAGAAAAAAATCAATAAATTCAAAAAAATTTTTGATAAAATTCAACATGTGCTTATGATTCAAAAACAAACAAAATCTCAGCAGATTAGGAATAGAAGATAACTTCTGTAGTTTGAGATAAGGAAGCTAAGAAAATCTATAGCAAAAAAATCTTTAAGAAATAAGATAGGGAGATTTGTTCTTCCAGATATCAAGACTCAGTCTAAAACTACAGCAGTTAAGACAGTTTGGTATTAAGGCTAGGACAGTCAAACTGACTGACATAAAACAGATTCTAAACAAATATATACCTGAATGGAGCTTGGTCTGCGACAAAGGAGGTCATGCAGAATAGTAGGGAAAATTGCAAGGCCAACTGGCTATCCACAGAGGAGAGAAGGATGGATGTAAAAAAGCAAAGCAACTTAACAGAGAAAGGAAAGAAAAAAAGCAGACAAGCAATCTGAAGAGACAACACACAAAAGATGATAACTAATGAGCCAAAAAAACATGACAAAGTGCTGAATCTCATTAGCAATCAAATTAAAACCATAATTAAATACCAGTACACACTCACCAGAATAGCCAAAATTAAAAACAATATCAATATGATATGTTGCTAAGGATGTAGAGCCATTCCAACACTGTTAGCAGAAAAATAAAATTATGCAACCACTTTGGAAAATCATTTCACAATTTCCAGTACAATTAAATATACATCTATCCTATGGCACTGAAACACCACATGGGTATAAACCCAACAGAAATGAGAACATGTGCCTACATAGGTACAAAATATATATAGCAGTTTTATTCATAAAATCTTAAACTGGGAACAACCCAAATTTCTATCAACAGAAGAAAGCTTGGGATATAACACTATGGATAAATCTCAAAAATACATGCAGAAGAATCCAGACCGGAAAAGCATACGTAACTGTTTAAGAACCCTCACCATACTTTTAGAAGTTAGAACAGAAGTTATCTTTGGAAAAGAAGGAAGGGAAAATGACTCAGATGTGGTATAAGAGAAATCTCTAGGAATCTTCTATTTCTTGATTAGGGCAGTAACCTTGTGATAATTCATTGAGCCATAAATTTATCTGTTATTTACTTTCCTTGTGTAATACTTCATAACAAAAAAGTTTCAGCACAAACAAATGGCTCCATAAGAAAACTGATAGCCAGCTACACCCTAGCCCTATTTACAGTATGTACTCTATTTGTTTGAACCACAATTTGAGAACCAATCAACTCTTCAGCTTTCTGCCCCACGAGCCAAACCGCACAGACTGATGGGGACATTTCCATTAGATATACCATCTCCCAGGACAATTTGAAAAGACTTTGATAACATCATATCTCAGCATTTCTGTTTAGAATAAACAATTAGCATGAGATACGCTTCACTTTTATGTTGTTTGCCTCACAATAAGCCACAAGAGAGGTAGAAAAAACTATCTCGATAGCAGAAGTTAGGCCTTCCCAGACACTTGGCCCACTTGTAGCCTGGGGGGCCATGGCTCTCATGTCCTGAGCTCAAAGGAGCACAATGAAGCCCTGTGTCCTCAGACACCTGAGACAGTACCAGAGACTTAACACCTGGATGTGAATAAGAAAAGAACAGCAGAAAGTAAGAAGTCTTCTACTCTGAGAATTCCTCTGTGGCCTGCCTTACTTATCCACATACTGTTTTATTCTATATGCCACATACACCAGGAATGCTGGAAGGACCAAAAGAGACATGGTTTCAGCCCCACAGCTTAATAAATTAACACACAAAGATTATCTGTGAATAGTAACAAATGCTATGAATAATTGAGGATGCTGTGACAGGGAATAAAAGGAAGGGTTCTGTTTCTAAGATTTGAACTTGGAGCCTACAAATCCAACGACTCCTTTTTCTTATTCCTCTAGCTTTCAGTCACCTGGTACGATTGCTAAAAATAGTATTTGTCAAGCTGGGACACAATAATTTAAGAATATTCAGTTGCCACTGACTGCTGATTCCTTCTCTACCTAAATGTCAGTCGTTCTCCAAGGGTCAATTAAGAACTGCATTTGTGTTGTTACAATGAGTGGGCGAGGCGGTGGCACCAGTGGTCTTTAATGAGTGGGGGCCTGTCAGGCTCGATATCCTGCTGTACAACAATCAGAAACACAAGGAGGAACTGTCCTGGCTACTGCCTGACCTCTGGAAGTCTGCCAGACAGTCATGTAGAAGAGAAGCCTGTTTACAATTACCTGAGGCTTGAATTTAATTCTATTTTACATTTAAACACAGAGTATTTTTGGTCCAGTTTCATATATACTGAATTTCCTAGTACGGAGATATTTATATACTTATCTCAGTCCGGACTTGCACTGTGGCATGCATAGTAATTGATGTGTAAGTGTAAACATCTGATTACTTCATGAAGACTTTTAGTGTAGCAATGCTTGTACATTTACCTATCAGCACACCTATTCATTATAAATTACCTCTATTCTTTACATTTTATTTACTGTATTATATTGACTTTAAAAAATATATGTATGTAATGTAGTGTATTTCTGAATTTTATTTTAAGATAGTAATAAAAGCATACAAAATGTCACAGGTCTCAGAATTAGTTCTCTGAGCATTGAGAACCTAGGCCAGAATTCTCCACTAGACAGTAAGTTCTTAAAGAGTACGAAGCTAGGTCTTACTTTCATTTATCTTCCCCTTGCCTCCTATGACAGCCGATTCAATAGTCAGTGAATATATGATGATTTATTGAAAGCACAGAGAAAAATCCTGCCAATTTGCAGAACTGCCTGAGCTCTCATTTTTCTGAGACTACCAACACTATTCCTGTATGAAGCTCTCTTGTACAGGGCCTGAAGAAAGTTACTTAGTTTCTTTATGATTTATTATAACATTATAATAAGATTATTTTAATAAACTGGGCTTTCTTTAAGTAAATAAAATTACAAATTATCCAATACAGAGTGGAGTTATTTAAATTCACAAATGCATAAGGCTAGTATTAATGCTTAAGTATTTCGGTCAGCCTGAATACTCTTCTTGCATTTCTTACTCCATGAATTACAGCACTGTGTAATCAGTTTTAAAACCTAAAAAAACCTAGGTTATGGCTGACAACTCCTCATTATTCCCATCCATTCATCAACACTCAACAAATCTCACCACCTTTACTTACTAACCTCTATTCTAACCTGAAAATGTCTGTCTCCACCCACCCCCACCTTGGTCCAAGTTACTACCACCTCTGCCGAGACTACAAGAGCCTCATGACTTATCTACGAGAACCCAAGTGCCATTCTATTCCAGTCAGTCCTCACAGTAACACTGTAACATTATCATCATTTTGGACAGGAAGAAACTGAAACACAGAGATTAAGTAATTTTTAAGGTTATAAAGCTAGAAAAGGGCAGAGCTAGAGATTAAACCTAGGTTAGACTAGTCCTCTTTACACATCATGGAGCTCTAACCCATCCTAAACTATACTATCCTATGACCATTACCCTGAATGTCAGTCTCTCCTCTTATTTACACTTGGCAAATGGAGATAAAGATATACGAGCCTGAATTACATACATATTGCCACTATATGTTAGTATACTCTGGAAATCTCTTCTTAGTGCCTTATGCCCCTTAAATCTTAAAAGCCTTCTGGTTGAAGGTTATAGTTAGGTTTCAATTAAATAAGGGTCTGCTATTATTTGCTAGTGCTATTAATAATTTCAAGGATAATTCAACACCCATTGTTAAAAAGACTTAGAAACAGCCTGGGGATGTAGCTCAGTGGTTCTGCTGCCTGCCTGGCAAATGTAAGGTCCCAAGTTTGATCCCCAGTACAAAAAAAAAAAAAAGACTTAGAAACAGTGATCTTTTCCTTATGTTGCTTGACTAATTGGGCAAGATACTAAGCTACACATAAATGTTAACAGTATAAGTGAAGCTATTATGAACAAGAAAAAGGTCTAACTCATTACAGGGGCAATTAGTAATATATAATAAGGATAACTGACCTAAAAACATAGGGAAGCCAGATGCTAAACTCCCTATGGCCAAATGAAGAACAGATAACATTAAGCATGGGGGAAAATGCCTAACAAATAATTCACAATTGGTGACATAATAATGTAGGTTAACTGACCGACTATTTATAATGGCTGCATTATAAATAGCAGCAGCACTGTGAGAGTTGCTAGGAGACCAATTATTTATCTATCCTTTCTTAAAGCAAGCAAAGAAGGAATGGCAGAAAAATTAAGGTAGGCCTTAGTGAGTTATGCTCTACTTCAGAAAATTAGCTTTCCCTCTGTCATATCTTTTTACTCCAAAAGCACGGGAACATGACAAGCTTTCAAGGACTAAACTTGGTATATTTATTTCAACAGCTGAAGAGTAATTATTTTCAAAAGGCAAGACAGGTAAAATCTAGCAAGATAGTATTTCTACTTTCTCATTTACTAGGGAAAAATACTTTAAAACCTAGCTACAAATGTTTTTGGTAAGGACAAATAAATCTGAACACTATAAAACTTCATTATAGAAAAATATTATAAAAAGTGTTTATGCATAAACTTACACCAATAACAATGTGATAATTTCCAATTTTCTTAACCTAAAGAAATATACTAAAAACTAAAATCACTGGAAATACCAAGTAAGAGTTTTATTTTTAAGTCATGCCTTCACAGAAACTTTTGGCAAATGTTAGAAAGAACTGCGTTAGATGAATTTCATACCATAGGGTTTCTCTTCTGTCACTTTCCCTGTAGAATCTTGTGTGTCGGTGGCTTTCCCCAGTTCTCCAATGGCAATATACCTCTAGAGAAAGGAAACAAACAAAAATAGTCCATGAGTTAACAAAAAACTGTTACACATGCCTTACGTTTAAACAGAATTATACTAATACTACCAACCTGATACAAAAGGAAGGCAAAAGTTACACAGTAAAACTGTTGTGTTGATTTGTTTGTTTCTGATCAATAGGAAGCATGTGTGTAAATTGAACAATTCACATACTGCCCACACTGGTCAACATGAGAAACAAAAACCTGATTTTATTGATAACTGTAGTTTGTAAACATATTGGGTTTCATTGGTTTTTTTTGTTTTGGTACTGGGGATCGAACTCAGGACCTTGTGCTTGCGAGGCAGGTGGTGGCACTACTGAGCTAAATCCTTGGTCCTATAAACATTGTCATTGCAAACAAATTTTTAAAACCACTTCTGTATGGGGAAGTTTGTTTCTTAAGAAAAATTTTAAATCCGTATCCACAAGTTCTGCACCCATAAATCCAACCAACTAGCTACAAGATTAAAAGTGTTCCCCAAAATTGCATCTGTGCTGAATACATGCACGCTTCTTTTCTTGTCATTGTTTCCTAAACAAAATAGTATAACAACTATTTACACAGCACATACAATGTAGTTGGTATTGTAAGTAATCTAGAGATGACTTAAAGTACACTATATAGGAGGATATATTTAAGTTATATCCAAATACTATGCCATTTTCTATAAGGGACTTGAGGATTTGTGGATTCTGGTGTCCGTGGAGGCTTTGGAACCAATCCTCCACATACACCAGAGACAACTGTATGCCTATGAGTAGAGAGATAAGATCAGTCTTAGTAACTAATCATACATTTAAGCAAGAGCTAAATGTGTAGAAAATGTGCAAAACAAATACAGCAGAAGTAGCACACTTAACTATTACACATGTTTTCTCAATAAAGAGAAATTAGCCAGGCGTGGTAGCATAAGCCTGCAATCCCAGTGCTCCAGAGGCTGAGTCAGGAGGACTGTCATGAGATCGAGACCAGTGTGGACTACATAGTGAGGTCAAGCCCAGCATGAACTACATAGCAAGACCCTGTCTCAAAAAGAGAGAAAGTGACATTAAAGCTCTCCAAAACGAAAGTCACTTTTCAGAAATGACTATTATCTACAAATGACGAATTAGATCACTCTTAGGTAAGAGGACTATCTTCTCACCTGAGGGAACACTGATAGGCATTCTTTTTTTTTTTTTTTGGTACCAGAGATCAAACTCGGGTCCTTTTGCTTGTGGGGCAGGTGGTGGAACCACTGAGCTAAATCCCCGGCCCTGACAGGCATTCTTTAAATACTCACTTTTGGTCAAATTCTAGTTTCATTTGAAGCATCACATAAAGAAATAATAAAAGCATATGGACTATTATTTCCCACTAAAAATAATCTGTATTTATATGAGCAGTTTTTAAAAAGAAAGCTCAATGTAATTTTCAGAAATGTAAATTTATTAATGACAATGATATTTAAGCTAATGAAGGGACCAGAGACAATAATCAGAAAAATATTAAAAATTTTAAATCCCATAAACATGCAGACATTTACAGTAGCCTGAGGCCTTTGATAAAATCACCTTTATTTTACATACTCAGGTTATTTTAAAAAAACCAGATACAATATAGGAGGGAATGTCCAATGTATAAGAAGTAAATTTTTAAAAATTTCATCAAGATCAATAAAAATTAGTTTCTTGTTGCTGAACATTCTGTCTCATCATCTATAATGCCCTACTCCTGTTCCCACTCAAACTCAAACTGGCTGAGTCTGACTCTGGCTCTACACTAGAAGGGTAGAGGTGGTTAAGTTAATCCTAACTGTTCCAGCATCAGTTCCTTGCATTAAAATGAGGAAATTAATAGTGACTCAGGAGAAGAGGCAAAGAGTTTAGAAGACTATCTGGGTCTGGTAAACAATGGATACTGATACATTATCATTATTATATCAAATGAAGATAAGGATAAGGGGAAGTTTGGGAGGGGGGAGGAAGACAAGAACAAGAAGAAGGGAGTGGAGAGAGGAGGAGGAAGAACAGAAGGCAGAAAAGGATGAGGAGGAAGAGGAGGAAAAGGAGCAAGAGGAGCAGAATAATTGATAGTAACAGTAATTAGAGTGACTCACTCATCTGGTTAGAGTTGCCATAAGAAACAGTAAAACAAAAAATTGCTCTCTATGATTTTCTTCCCCTTAAGAGTCTATCTACCTATACAAGAAAAAAGTGCAATCCTGTATACTGTCCCTTGAATGCATCTGCACTGTTCTGCTACATAACAACAAATCTGAACTAGGCGTCTTAACAAGCCTGCCAAGTACCCAGTGGACTTTGGTTGTCTGTGCCTTGGCACATGCTACTTCTCATAGCTATAAGCCCCCTTCTTTTCTAC